CCCACATGCATGCTATAGCATGTTCACCCACACACAAGCACCCATATACAAATGAATACTAAACGTAATTAAAAGGAATTAATAATTGCTATTATAGCTAACAATCCACAGGAAGTGCATCTTTTGGAACAGAGAAATAAAGCTGAATCATGCAGTCCAAAGTTAAAGAACCGTAAATTAGGCTACATAGAGCTCTTCAGAGTGACAGCTACAACCTACTAGTCATTTTCAATGACACACCTGCTGCATTTCCGTACAGGCAAACCTGGTGTTTGGTGCACTTCTTCCGACCTCTGACCTCTCTTCCTGTAACCTGTAGACACGGGCACACTGACACTGGACTCTTTTGGTACCCTCTCTTAGTCCTTTCTTTTCCTTTAGGCCTCAAGTCAGATCTTATCCTCAGACTCTGAAAGTAGGTGGTTGGCTTAATTATCTGATTCAAATAATCAGATAGAAGTGAGTCAATTTCTGTTTTAAAGGTGGCCTTTAAAGAGGAGGTTGCTTATTTTTAGTGAGTCTGTGTGTACTTTCTGGCTCTGAAGTAAGTGGCTTTTTATCAATTCCCAAAAGAACCCACCCCCAGAACAACGAATATATATAGGTATCTAACTAGGAATTATCTTTAAACCGAGGTACGTACGTGGGCTCCTGGCCTAGTTAGAAGCACCTCAAGTACCAGCCTCATTAATCTATAAATCTGTATCAATCTTTTGGCCTTCTCCCACTTCTCCCCTAACGTTCAGAACAATATACCTCGCTGAAAAGTAGAGAATTATTTTGGGAATTAAAGCTAGAAGCACAAGAGCGGTGGATGGCCCAACAGTCAGCAAACACTGCACTGAAAATAAAATGTGATCAGAGCTGGCAATGTAGGTAAGTAGTAGAATAATTTATCCAGCGTACTCCGAAGCCCTGGGTTCAATTCCCAGTAAAACACATACACACACACACACACACACACACACACACACACACACACACACATACACAGAAAGAGAGAGAGAGAGAGAGGAGAGAGAGAGAGAGAGAGAGAGAGAGAGAGAGAGAGAGAGAGAGAGAGAGATTATTACACTATTAAGGATGGTGACAAGGCTTAGTGGGTAAAAATGCTTGGCATGTAAGCCTGATGATTTGAGAGCCACCCCTGGAACACACAGTGGAATGAGAGAAGAGACTCAGAAAGTTATCCTCTACCTCTCCACACCTCCTGTGTCAACAAATACACACACACACACACACACACACACACACACACACACACACACACACACCCTCTGACTTAGGAACAGGAATTGAAATCCTGCCAATCCCTGAGGTCACTGAGTACAAACTCCCACCAATCCCTGAGCCCCCTGAGCACTAAATCCCACCAATCCCCAGCCACCCTGGAAAGCTCTGCCTCCCAAGGAACCCTGTAGAAGTTCTGTATCCTGTTCAGTCTGCTACCACCTCACCCTAGAGGGAGCCACTCTCCTGGATTCTTCCCAATAAATCTCTTGAGTGAGGTTTGTTGTGTGGTGTGACATTTTCGCCTAAGTGAAGCTCAGCTGTAACAACTTTCACTGGAGCAGGAAAGGGGAGCAGAACTGTAATACTTACCCTAGCAGAGCAGAGTTGTTAGACTCCAGGGGACCTTAGCAGAGCTGTAACACTTTCACTGGGGAAACTTGCCCTTAAGTGGAGCAGAGCTGTTACACTTCACCGGACCTGAGCAGAACTGTAACAACTTCGGTGAGGAAACCCTCCCCTTCCAGGCCGAGTTGTTACAATGGGGAAACCTTTCCATGAAGCAGGCCTATAAGCTGCTATGCTTACAGTGCCTTTGTGGTATTCCTTGGCTCCCAACTGCCAGGACACCTTTCTATCTGAGCTGCAACGCTTACATATATAAATACACATAGATTAATTTTCATTAAAGATTAAACCTACAGAAAAGTTGTAAGAACAGCAATTAACTACCCTTTGCCTGGATTCAGTTTAACATTTGACACATTTGTCATTCTCTATCTTTGCTAAACTATTTGCAAATAAATGGCCTAGTGCTGTGGAATAATCCTTTCGTACGCTGTAAATGTATTGCTCTTGTTGGTTTAATAAAGAGCCAACTGGCCAATAGCTAGGCAAGAAGAGGTTAGGTGGGAGAGCCAGACTGAGAGAATGCTGTGAAGAAGGGAGAGTTGCCAGCCAAACACAGAGGAAGCAGGATATATAAAAAGATAAGGTAATAAGCCATGAGCCACATGGCAGCACATAAATTAATAAATATGGGTTAATTTAAATTGTAAGAGCTAGTTAGTAACAAGCCTAAGCTAGCAGCCAAACATTTATAATTAATAAAAAGTCTCTCTTTGGGAGCTGGCTGGCAGGACAGAAAAGCCCACCTACAGCCTACATCACAGACTTTTATCCATAAATACTTCAGTGTGTATTTCTTAATAAGGATACTTTCTTTCATAACACAGTACAATGATTAGAGTCAAGAAAGTCAGCATTGAGGCCTAGAGAGATGGCTCAGTGGTTAAAATAGAGTACTGCTCTTGCAGAGGCCCTGAGTTCAGTTCCCACCACTACACCAGGTATCCAAACACCACCTGTAACTCCAGCTATAGGGGATCTAATGCCCTTTTCTGGACTCCATATGCATCTGCATTCACACATGGATGTAAACACACACACACACACACACACACACACACACACACACAACTAAAGTAAAATAAATATTTTTTTAAAAAAATCAACATTGAAACGATACTTTTATCTAACATACAACCCAATTTAATTTTCAACAATTGCCCTGACAGGATTCCTTGGTAACATGCTTTTCTAAGACCATATGCCGCCCTTAGTGGCATGTCTCTTAAGACTTGAATCTAGAACTCTTCCTCGGGCATTCTTTCATGACAATGGCATCTTTAAGGGTACAAGATAGTTAGGGGGTCAATTTCCTCAGTTTATATTTTTCTGATGTTTTTTCTTTGCGACAGATTCAGAATGTGCATTTTTACAGATACCACCTAAGAGATGTGTCCTGGGTACCTCATATCAGGGGCTCTTTGTGTCATTTAATTCCCATTGGTAACTTGGGTCATTTTTTTCAGGAAAGTGTCAGATTTCTCTACTGTAAAGGTACCTTTGTAATGATTTTTAAAATCCAAAGATATTTTGAGACTGTATACATACCCTACTCTTCAACCAAAATTTACTTTAATGCCTCTTGATAATTCTTGTCTGAACCAATTATTAGGAACAGCCACAAAATGGTGAATTCATAATTTCTACCTATATCCTCTTCTCACTTATCCTGTCTTTATACTTAACCTAAAAGTTAAGCCTGAGAACATAGCTCAGTGATACAAAACTAGCATGTATAAGGATCTGAGTTTCTGTTTCCTAAAAAAAGAGAAGGAAAAAGAAAAGGAGTGGAAATAGACATTTATGGGGGCTTATCACATATACCACATTTCTGAGGACCTGTCTAAAAAAAGTTAAAGTGAAAATATGCAGTCTGGTTCCTTTTTAAAAATTAATATGGACTAGACACGGTGACACCTGCTTTTAACCTTAGCGCTCAGGAGACAGATCTCTGTAAAGTATGAGCTAGCCTGGTCTACAACGCAAGTTCTAGGTTATCCAGGGCTACATAGCGAGACTCTGTCTCCAAAGAAACAACAAAACCCCACAATGTAGAGCCCAAGAGATGGCTCATTGGGTAAAGGCACCTGCAGCAAGCCTGGCCACTTAAGTTCAGTTCCCTAGAATCCACATAGTAGAATCGAGAACCAGCTCCCACAGCCTGTCCTCTGACCTCCACACAAAATAAATAAAATGTAAAAGTAATATGTGTTGTAATGTACAACAATTTCCAATGAACAATTTCCCAATTGTCCAGTTCTGATGCTCAGTTTGTCTCAGATTTGGCAAATGTGGGTCCCTTCAAGCTGTATTCTCTTTTGACATATTCTTCCTGTTGTATACAAGAAGTCTCCTTGCTTACTCATATAAGTTCTTTCAAGGGCACCTTAAACTTTCCCTGTCTGCCTCGAACTGAATCGTTACTCCCAACGAATTGGGTTCCTTTTAATGGAGAATGGGTACCCGGGAACCAAGGTCTGGATGCACATAATATATTTCAAGATATTAAAATGTTGCTGTTTACTTAGGTCACCATATGGAAGACTGGCGTGACAGTTTATAATTAGAATTCTAGCATTACCTGTGTGACGTTGGCAACTCCCTTCATTCTAGCAGCCTGCTGCATCATCTGGAAATAAATTGGATAGTAAAGCGTTTACAATTTCCCAGTTTGAGGAACTATGACAGAAGATATGGGCCCCTCTCCCCAGGGACATGCTCAAACAAGTAAAACTGTGCCTACGTTTCAGGGGTTCCAGGCTTCGAAGCCCATTGGCAATTCCGAATTCAGGAATAAGTCATCTCTAGGGTCTCTTCAGAGCTGACTTTTTTTTTTTTTTTTTGGTAAGTGACCGATTGCTGTGAGTAGGAATCCTTACAGACGTCAAAAAGTGGAGAGATTTATATAGTAACGAGGAGGGGGCTAAAAAGTACACAAAGAAAAGGCTGTGAGCAACGCGTTGCTCAGCCACGGCGTTCCTGGGGCTCCAAATTTAGCGGAGCAGTCTACTGCCGGGGAGGTTTTTGGCGGGAAGGGCCGCTGGCGGGCGGAGAACGCCGGCCGACCTTACACGGGACGGGTCGGTGGCGCAGTGCACCCTCCGCTCGGCCCACCAGGGCTCGCTCTTGCCCTTCTGCTGGAAGGCAGGAGGAAAGGGGCGGAGCCGACGGCGACCCCGCCCCCGGCCGCGGCGAGGCCCGAGTAGGCTGAGCTGGGCGCCGCGGCCGGAAGCACAGTGCCCGCCCGAGCCGCGCGCCGCCCCTCCCTCCCGCCACTGACGTCGGCGCTGCTGCGGTAGCCATGGTGACCGGCGGAGGCCCGCCCCCGCCCCCTGCCCCGGCCCCCTGACGTCGGCGCACGTCAGCGCCGGCGCGCGCCTGGCTGGGCCCTGTGGGGCGGGAGGGAAGCAGCTCTGGAGCGAGAACCGCGGCCGTCGCCCAGAGCCTAGAGCCGCGCCGCCCGCCGCCCTCCTGCCCGCTCCGCGCCGCTCCGCGCCGGCCCGCTCGTTCGCGCTCCAGTTGCCGTGTCCTGCAGCGGGGGCCCAGCATGGTCATGGCGGATGGCCCGAGGCACTTGCAGCGCGGGCCGGTCCGGGTGGGGTTCTACGACATCGAGGGCACGCTGGGCAAGGGCAACTTCGCCGTGGTGAAGCTGGGGCGGCACCGGATCACCAAGACGGAGGTGCGGCTCCGGGGTTCGGCGGGAGCGTGGCGTGGTTGCGCCCCGGGCGGGGGACGGCGGGCCTGGCACTGTGGGGACCGCGGGGTGCAGGTCGGGGGGGGTTGTCCCTGGGAAGCCACACTGGCTTCCGTCCCGAGCCTCCCACCCGGGGACCTGGTCTGTGGCCTCGGCTCCCAAGCCCAAGTTCCGCGTCTTCCCGGCTTTCGGCTGGGGGTGGGGTGGGAGGGGAAGTCTCGGTGCTCCGGGGCCGCGCGGGGACCAACGTCGCCGGCGGGAGAAGGGGACCGGCAGCTCCCGGACTTGGCGGACGCGGCGCGCGGCCCGGACCAGGAGTCCCTCGCTGCTGGGCGAGGAGGGGGCGCCGCGGACCCGACCGGTGCGGACGGACCGCTGTCCATTTTCTCTGCTTTGGGCCCACAGGATCTCTGATTCGGTACCTGACTGGCTTGATCTCTTGCCGGAGGTATATCTAATACTCCAGACAATAGAACTGGTTAAAAATGGTCATCTCAGCTCTGCACCGTCGTCTGGGGTTGTCCCTTTACCAGGTGTGCATACTGGCTCCAAGCACGCATTCCTTAAGCCACATCAGATGGACTACTCCGAAAGCCCTCAACTGCTTCCTTGCAGTGACTCCAGCATCCCCCTCCATGGAGCATTCTAATGCACCGCACATATTTTCTCCCCAAGTCTCTGTTCTTACCTAGCCCACCCCCTTCCCTCTATTGCCTCAAGCTGCTCTCCTCGGGGTCTCTATTTTAAGACGTGCAAATTAAATACCTTGGAAAAAACGATCGAAACAAAACCGGTTTTTAGACTACAACCTAGTGGTTTTGACGTACTCTATTCTGCCTTGTGAGTGCCACTGGAGTTTCACAGGTTTTCATTTTCTCTCCCCAGATTTCATCTCGTCCGGGTTTTTTCCCTAGTACGTTCTTAAGAACGTTCTAGCCTTTGATTGTTAGAACTTTTCTCCCTAGGATGACTTACGTAAGGTGAAGGGCATTTAAAAGCCTGAGTGTTTTCTTAGCAGTTGCTCTTAAGTTTTGCTTCATGTCCATTTTCATAAAGGAAGATATGTCTGACAGGTCTTCACTTTTTGTTTTGCCTCACGGACCACCTAAATCTGACTTCTTTAGGACATCAGTACCAAGGTCAAAAATTTTCCTTTCACAAATTTACCATTGTTATGAATCTAGATTGTTTGTAATGATAATATGAGTATATTGACATTACCAAATTTTTGCATAGCTTAATATGATCCCAGCACTTTTTTTAATGAATAAAGTTGTTTCGTTCTTGTAAAGAGCTATGGCCAAATTGTCATACCTTTGCCTCTGTGTTAAATAAAAAGGAAATATCTTAAATTGGTATCTTTTTTAGTCCTTTTCAATGACTGTCAAAAATTTTACAGAGAGTCTGTGAACTTTTTGGTTATTTTGTTCTGTGGTTGGGTACCAAATCTGATAGTTCGTTCTATTTTTTCTTATTAGCAATATTTAGTGGTCAGCTCTTATTTGTCAGAGTTGAGTTAAAGTGGTATATGAGAGCTGCTTAAGCGGAGCTCATGGTAACTGACACTTACTCTTAAGGGTCACAGTTCTCATGGTGTCCCTTTCAAACTGATATTTCTTAGGAAGCAAGCTAGGGGGCACTGTGGAGTAACACTGCCTGTGACTGTCAGGTCACATTTGTGATTGAAGACACCTGTCAGATCATGGCAGAGCTTGCAGATCCTAAAGTGTGTGTGTGTAGTATATGTGTATAAAATTATTTTATGTTAAAAGCTAAAAGTTTAGCCTAGAGATTCCTCTTCCCTCGTGCTGTTCTATTTTTACAGTGGGCAGGTATGAGCATTTTGTGGTAGTTTTGTGATTGCCGATACTAAGGCACAGAAAGGTGAAATGGTCGAGCAGTTCTGTAAGGAAGTCTTCGTGGATGTTTCAGTTTGCAGAGGGTTCTCTGAAGTTTTATAGGGAAGTTACATGAAGACTTGTTTAGTAAGAGCATGGATTCAGTTTCTAAAAGTATAACATTTGTTTTCAGTGAGTTTTTTCTTTAGGAATAATATTTTTTATTTACTGAATATTTGTATCTGATAAATAGAACCACCATGCAAACTGTAAATAAAATAGTGAAAATTTCAACTCTTACATTATTTTAGATTATCACTGCTTAACATACTATATCTAGTTAATTACAGTGAGAACAGTTAATATAGTATAAAGAAAACTATTAGCAAATATGATTGTGTTTCCTGCTTATGGAAACTCCTTTATATACTGTATTTTAGCACTGTAGTTTTATGTGTTTTAGAAGAATCATTTTTAGTGTGTGTGTGTGTGTGTGTGTGTGTGTGTGTGTGTGTGTGTGTAAATAAGGGTGAACATGTTGCTCAGAGGACAACTTGCAGGAGCTGGTTCTCTCCTTCAACCATGTGGGTGCTCAGATAATCAGGGTTGGGATCAAGTGTCTTTACTCTGACCATCTTGATACCCCCTGAGACAAATCTTAGGGCTTAATTTAAACATTCAAATTATGAATACTTTTATTTTTTATTGGCTCTTCTTCATCTTCTGTCCCATATCAATCATGAAAAAAAAGATACATATTTTTGTAGTGCTTGGGAGAAGTCTGTTTCCCTTTTAGAAGAAAATAGTATACAAAAGAGACATTGATTTTGGTCTAAGCTATCAAATGACTTAACACTAAAAAATATAATTACGTCATCTGAAGCAGTATTCATGTGCTAGCTCTCTGAGTAAATTTTGCACACAAAAGGGAAGGCAAGGGGGTGGTAGAATCCAGCTTCCTAATGTAATACTTCATAAAATCTTTGCAGAGCTGGTTTATGAATTACAGAAGCTAATTTTATAAAATTAGCACAATGGGAAAAGAATAACACCATTTAGGCTATTAAACTATTTTGGGCAATAGTGGTTGCTAGCTTTCTGTTCTATGAATGTCCTTAAGTAGTGTTTCATAAATACTTTATTAGGAACAACTTTTCCTGTCTAGTTAACTGTAGAGTTAATTCGAGGTGGGGTTGTTTGGTTTGTTTTTGGTTTTTTTTTTGGTCTAAGTAAAATTCTAGGAAAATTACTTGTATCTGTAAGCACCCCATTTTCTATTAAAGAATGTTTAGTACAGCAAATATTAAGAATAAAGGAGAGCATGGTACACCAAGAGTATATAGTTTCCCCACAAGTGGGGATACATTGTTCTTAACATGTCACATTGCCTTTTAGTATTTTTAATGCATTGTTTTTTAGATGACGGCACATGATCCATGTCTGTGTCCACACATTTTGCTTATTGTATATAACTTTTTAACAGCATTTTAGTAGGTTAGAATTCTACCTTGTACATAACCCATTTTACTTAGGACTCTTACTGAATATTTTATCATGTCCAGTTTTCAACAACTGACAGGGAACACAATTGTGTATATAAGTCAGTGTCTGCACCTTAAATGTTTTTTAGAGAGAAGAAATTGCCAGTAATTTTCAGAAGACAAATTACTAAGTGAGAAGGTATAATTTTTACATTTGAGAATTTATATTACTTTATCATGTTTATTATTGAAAAAATGTAAAAGTACAGATAAATGAAAATAATTACCTATACTGTCAGTACCCAGAGATAACCATCATTATTATTTTTCTTCAATACCATACTTTTTGTGTTGCTTACCTCCGAAGTCATATGAAGGGAAATATTTCAGAAAGTTACCTTATTCGTAGCCTCTAGGGGTTAGGCTGCTTACTTACCCCTGAGAGAACCTGGACTCAGAACGACTGTCAAAGCCTGTCCGAAAACTGCCTTTGTGCACTGAAAAGTTTTCTGTGTGCATTCTGCAACTTGGATGTTCAGGCATAATTCACAGACCTTAAAGTGTAGAATTTTTTAATGCTTTCCAACAGCAAAGTTCAAAATTATGTTTTTATAGCAAGGGTAGAACGAAAAGGAAGGGTGTATTAACCCGTGAGCATGGTATTTTTTTTATAATTAATTTTATTTTATGTGCATTGGTGTTAGATCCCCTGGATCTGGAGTTAGAGACAGTTGTGAGCTACCATGTGAGTACTAGGAATTGAACCTGGGTCCTCTGGAAGAGCAGCCAGTGCTCCTAACCACTGAGCCATCTCTCCAGCCCCTGGCATGGTATTTCTTTAAGAGGGCTTTTAAATACAGTTGGGTTTTAAATTTTGCTTTGACATTCTACAACTCTTTTCAGTAGCCTTGGTATTAGTCTTATGCTGCAAAAATACTCCAGATTTCAAGAAGTAGCTGTAATAGGAGGACCTGTGGCCAGATACCTTGGCCACTAATGTTTGAGTCTAGGCTTGTATGTGATCTTCTCTTGGATATTGAAATAGGACTCTGATTTGTCATTGGACTGTTCTCTAGTTTCTTGGCCCTCAAACAAGTAATAATTGGCAAATTGTTTTGCTAAATATTATTAAAATCATCTCTTCTTTCGGGGAATGGAAAACAAATATTCACAGTAAGAGCTGTATAATTTTAAAATTTTAATTGTGTGTGTGTGTGTGTGTGATTGTGTGTGATGTGGGGAGGGACATGTGCATGCTATGGCACCATGGCACACATGTGGAAACCAACGGACAATTTTGAGGATTCAGGTCTCTCCTTCAGCTTTTACATGGGTCCTTGGACTTGAACTTGGGCCATCAGACTTATATAGCAAGTGCTTTTACCCCCTAAGCTGGCCCTGAATTGTGTAAATTTCTCTGCTCTGTAGAAATTTTTAACTTTAACAGAGTTTAGTGTGTTCTGATTTTAAGTTCTCTAAGGAATTCTATCTTGGCACCAGGCAATTAAGAAAACATTTATTTGGAAATCATGAAACTGGCCTCCTTGGACTCACATGATGACATTTGATTTATGACCCACTGCTGATTACAGCATCCTTGGCATCAAATGGATTACCAAATTCCTTATGGTACCTCTTTTTCCTTTTTTAGTAGACCTTTCACCTTTCCTCCTACATCTTTTTTAAGTGATTTCTGTAAAAGTGTTTTCATTTAAATATTCACATAAAATACTTTCTATCCTTCAAAGAGAAATTTTCTTTATATCCAATTACGATAGTTAAAAGATTGGAAGACAAAAGGGAATTTCATCAGAAACTCTTTATTTTAAAAAATTTAAAGTTCTTTAGACAGATTAAGAGATGCATCTTAAGTAAATTAAACTAGAGACAATCCTACTATGTTTTAAGTTCTTAAAAGTAAACACTGTCCACACGGTTCTGCCCAGTTACAGAAGTTAGGCCTGCTCATTATAGCCATTGGGGAAAAGCCTAGAGAAGAAACTAAAGATTCTCACTTCTACTCTCAAAACTCAGGAGATGGAGCAGACCCTCTTAATTCACTTGTATGTTATACGTTTGCAATATAATAGATGTCACTGTGCATATAACCTGTGTGTTTTATTTCACTTGTTATTAACATCTACAAGTTTAAAAAAATGTCTAAGCCAGTGGTTCTCAACCTTCCTAATGCTGCAACCCTTTAATACAATTCCTCATGCTGTGGTGACCCCCAAACAAAAAATTACTTTCATAACTATAATTTTGCTATTGTTATGAATCGTAATGTAAATATCTGATATGCAGGGTATGTGATATACAACCTCTATGAAAGGATCGCTCGACCCCCCCGCAAGGAATTGTGACCCACAAGTTGAGTATCACTGTCTAAGGCAGCATTAGGAGGCATCTTGCATGTCACTCACCGTATTTTATTTAACTAACTTGCTATCATGAAAATAAAGTGCTCTAAGTGCAGTACTCTGAGTGTTCCAGACATTTGTATACCTGGTTGTTTCCTCAGAGCAGTTCCATCACAATGGAATTCTTGGATGGAAGAGTCCATCCATTACCTATCTTATGGCCTGAGATGCCACAATACCCTCTACAAAAGGTTTAATTACCATTAGGAAGAACACTTTAAGGAATACTACTCTATTGGGTTCTTTTTTTACTTTTATTTTCCAGTAGACAAAATTGCTTGCATTTTCTTTGCTTTTTTAATTTGTATTTCTTTGATTACTTGGATTGTGGTATTATGTGATGGCTATTTGCATTTCTCTTGTAAATAGCTTTTGTTGGTGTTGTTCTTTGGCTCTCTTTTAATTGCTTTGTCTTTTGTTTTAGAATTGTTGAAACTTTTTAAAGTGGGAAGTTATTTTGAATCACTTCTTTTATAGTCTTAAAAAGCCTCAGTTCATATAATTATTTTCAACTGTTTGTATTTTTGTATTTAGTGATACATTTAATTTATTTACACGGAAGTCCTTGTCATTAATTCAGATTATTCCCATTGGGTTCTTTTTCAGCACCAAAGTCCTCAGGCTTAGTGGAATATGTGATTTTTAAGGTCCTTTATAAAGACTGTTGAGTTGCTTCCTAGGAAACTTATAATCTATTCATATTCATACCAAATTTCTACAAAAATGGCTTTCTCATCAAAACTTAGTTCATGTGGGTGTCTACTTTTTGCTAATATAAAAGTGAAAATGGTATTTTTTGTTTTAAATTCACAGTTTCCTGAGTATGTCTATGGTTGAATAGTCAGCTACTTTATATAGGGTTTAAAGTAATAGCAATCTGGCCGGGCGGTGGTGGCGCACGCCTTTAATCCCAGTACTCGGGAGGCAGAGCCAGGCGGATCTCTGTGAGTTCGAGGCCAGTCTGGGCTACCAAGTGAGTTCCAGGAGAGGCGCAAAGCTACACAGAGAAACCCTGTCTCGAAAAACCAAAAAAAAAAAAAAAAAAGTAATAGCAATCTTTCTGATTTCTTATGTATGTCCTCCTGCTTTAGAGAGGAAGCCTTGCTTTTGCTTCTAGCGGAAGGAATACTATTTTTATTGCTGTAAATCCACTTTGTTTTTAAAAGACTGTGTATATAATGGAGTTAAAGAGTTAAATGATTCCATTAACAAAAAAGAGATCTTTCAGTTAACAGAATCATTTTGACCTTCTTGTCCTAATTTTAGAACTATTAAAAAGTAGGGAGTGGTATGCAGAGAAACTAAGTTTCTGCTTACCTTTGAAATAAACAGAGACTTTAAGTATGCCTTTGAGAAATTCCAACTTTTTTTAATCAGTCACTCTCACAGACAAGATCAGTTCCTTGAGAATAGGAATCCCTGTCTGATTGTTTCTGTATCCGAGGGATAGTATTTGGCATACAATAAATGTGTGATGAGTGAACTTTTTTAAGTAGCAAGGAGATTGAATTTGGAATAGAAGACATGAGGTTGTATTATCTGTCTGTCTGTCCCCTCACCCACCTTAATTTGCTAGAGTTTTAGAACCTTTGTAGATGATGTGACTTTCTTCTTTTGGGAGATGAGTGGAGCCAAGAAAGGTTTTTGGGATTTGGACAGAGGGCCTCATGCATGCTAATGTGTAATGCCTTTTGAATCTCAGTTTCATCAGCTTCCACTTATCCTACTTCTTCCATTCATTTGACAGAATTGAGAGATAAATGAGATAAAATGCTTTTAAGTATCTTGTAAAATTAGGAAGTGTTATGCAGTTGGCAAAGCCACTGTCATTATTACTGCATTTCTGAGAAGTTCTTGGCAAAGAGCTCCGTCAAGCTCAGCAGAGATCCTTGTGGATCAAAAGTTCCACTCTTCTATCTGAGCATTAACTGGGCTGTTTCTGTACCCCATACATTTAGATGTGGTTATGTGACTGAGTTCTAACTAATGAAATGAGTGAGGCCTGCCCATCAAAATCTCCCAGGAGGACCATTGAGAGCTTTTTTCTCTTTTCTGGCTAAAATGGAGACAACCTTCAGAGCAACTTTGGAAACCACACCTTAAACATGGGAAAGCCTTTTTATGCCTGCTAATAATCCCACCCATCTTAGCCTGCTATAAGATCAAGACATAAACTTTTGTTGTGCTTGAATCATTATAGCTAAGTCTGTTAAAGCAGTTAGACTGCCCCTGCTACAAGGATCCTGGAAACACATGCCTTTCTTTTTTTTTTTTCTATTTTTTTTAAATATATTTATTTTATAATGAACTTAATTTCACATATCAGCCACAGATTCCCCCGTCTTCCCTCCTCCCACCCCCCAGCCCTCACCCCTATCCAACTCCCATTCCCACCTCCTCCAAGGCAAGGTCTCCCCTGGGGAGTCAGCCCAGCCTGGTAGACTCAGCCAGGCAGGTCCAGTCCCCTCCTCCCTATACCAAGACTGAGCAAAGTGTCCCAGCATAGGCCTTTCTTTAGAGAAGCATAATCATCCTACAATTGTCGTACATAAGGAGTAATGGTGTCCAACTCGACTTCCAGGAGACCCAGTGGCTTCTGACTTCTGCAGGCACCTCCTTTTACATGATGCACATGTACACATTTTCAAAATTAAAGCTTGAGAAAAAGATATATACAGAATTTTTTAATAAAAATAACTATGCTTTTTTGGGTTTTTTGAGACAGGGTTTCTCTGTGTTGTTTTGGTGCCTGTCCTGGATCTCGCTCAGTAGGCCAGGCTGGCCTTGAACTCACAGAGATCCACCTGGCTTTGCCTCCCAAGTGCTGGGATTAAAGGCATGTGCCACCACCACCGGCAACTATGCTATTTTTTTAATGTGATTCCTTTTTCTCAAATTCTGTTATATGGTTTTGACCTATCTTATAATAGAAGCTTCTTGTTGGTGAGAAAGGTGCTGATGTCTAGACTTCAGAAACTGTAGAAATGACATTTCCTTGAAACATGATGTCTCTGAAACTCCATGTTACCTTCCTAAAGAAAGTTGAAATTCCAACGTGCCCTTGCCCTTTCATATGGGCAAGTTTTTATAAAAGTTACCTGAAGTAAGTGATCATCCTGGATTCTGTCATATCTTATTAGTAAGAATGGGGTCCCTTTAAATGTGTGGGTTGGAGGAAGTTCACTCACAAGGTTAGAGACACTTGCTGCTTCTCATAGTGAGCACAGTATTTTCACCATCAGCCCAACAGAGGCTAAGCAGTGTCTGGAATTCTGTCTGCTAGAATGTGAAGAGCACTTCAGAATTTCCTTAGAACTTACTAGAATTCAATATGGGGAGTTTCCAGTTACCAAATATCTTATTTAAATCAGATTACCTTATTCTAAATCTGTGAATTTCTAAAAGTTAATGTTTTTTAGTTACATGGAAAAAAAAAACCCATACAGTTGTTGTTTCTGAATACTTAATCATTCACCTTCAAATTCACCTTCTTTGGATTCCTGTTTAGTTATGACAGAATCAGATCACATTTTCTGAAGTTAAACTCTTTGAAAGTTAAAATTAATATAGTTATTCACATTTGAAGTTTTGTGTTTTAGTTTGTTAGTAAGTTTTATATCAAGTGATATTACTTCACATAGATTAGTTTTAATATTTTACATTTCAGGTTTTTCTTTTTTCAAAAACGTACTTTAGTGGGGAGGATCTGGGAGGAGTTTTGGCAGGGAAAAGAATATGATCAAAATATATTGTATGAAAAAAGGTTAATAAAATTTTTAAAAGGCTTTCAGAGAGTGGAGAAAGGTCTATCTGTATATTCCTTGGATCCTGTCACTTTTCTAGAAACTGCATCTCAGCTGCTTCCCACCTGGCAGATACTCCATAGGTCATTTACAGTGAGATCATTGGCTGAAAGTGCTAAGACTTTTTCAGTTTAAAGTAACTTGGAAAAGTTGTTTTCCACAGCACACTAAAAACTCTGCCAGACAAAAATCTATTGTGCATTATAAATAGTAGAAGAATAAGAAATGTGTGTTACATAAATGAACATTGAATTAAGCTTGCTATCAGTGTCACAGACATCTACAGGTGACATCTCAGATATCATTTGCTAAGTCTTAACTGGAGAATGTTAACCATTGTGTATTAATTGTGTCTATGTGTGTTCTGGGCTACAGGTGGCTATAAAAATAATAGATAAATCTCAGCTGGATGCAGTAAACCTTGAGAAAATCTACCGAGAAGTACAAATAATGAAAATGCTTGATCATCCTCACATAATCAAACTTTATCAGGTATGACTTAGCCTTATTCTCTTTATGCTTTTCCACATTCAGGTGTCTGTTTTCATTGGAATTTTTACTTTTATGCTAGCTTTTCTAGTCTATAAAAGAAATGTTTTCTTAAGCTAAATGTTATCTCTTTCTATATATTTCAGTTTGTAAAAAATGGAACTAGGAAGCTACTTGGCAATTTAACCTTCAGTTGTCTTTTAGATTACCAGCTAACTGTTAAAAATGGGCAGTTGTCCCTGAACTTGCTGGATTTGATTACCAGCTAACTATTTTAAAAATGGGCAGTTGCCCCTGAACTTGCTGGATTTGCAAAGGTGGTGGTACCATAAATAAGAATGTCATATTTTTGTTTATTTGAAAAGCTACTGTTTATGTGTTATGAAATACAAAGGCTAAAATAGTGTATTGCTCAGAGACAAACCTTGTAATATGTAGATTCATGTCTTTTTTTATGAGTCATAAAAATAAGCCATTTTTAATCTGTTTTATTAAGAAATTTTGTAAAGTAAACTGCATATAAATTTAAGTCATGTTTTAAAAGGAATGTTTTCTTGGATTTTTAAAAAGCAGTAATTCATGTTTAATAATCAATAAACTATTTTTAAAAGTTCCTGTTAATTAATGTACCATATCTTTAAATTGAAAATGGCTTTTAAACTGAAAGGTCCCAATATGCTGACCTGTGACTTTGATGCCCTGTGATAGGTATACCCATGGTATGCTGGACTTAATCTGTGTTAGTTTGTAAGACCACCTGATAAGTTTTCAGAAGTTTTATGAACGGATAAATATCACATTAGTAGCTCAAACTCAGCACTTGTTTATACATAGGAATGAAATTAAAACTCAGAGCCCTTTTCTCAGAGGGTCAGTTTGCTATCACACTACTGCACTCAGGTGGACTACTTAAATGTCCTTGGGATTGTCAGAAAATATTAAAACTTCTAGTTTTATTTATTATGTCCTTGAGTGCATTTTATACTGTGATACACATACATAATTTGTTCTCTTTAGATAGATAGATTTATACATTATATGTATATGTATACACTTGTAAACAATGTTATTGATTGAAAATTCCAACTTATAAAGTTGGAAACCATCAGCTTATGCTAAACCTGTAGCAGGAATCTTAAAAGTTCTTATTAATAAAACAAACCTGGGCCACGTATTGGGGTGAAATGCTGGATGATCAGAGAGACAGAACAAGCCACAGCTAACCTCACCTGGCCAACTCCTCAGCTGGTCTTGTTTCCTCAGACTGGAAGCCTCTGTGTCCTCATCCCAATGGCTCTCAGCTGAATTGCTGCTCAAAAGCCTGAATGCTTAACCAGGCCAAATGCTTCTAGTTTTTGGTCCTCACGCCTTATATATCTTTCTGCTTTCTACCACCACTCCCTGGGATTATAGGCTCGCTTTCTGGGATTAAAGGCGTGTGTCACCATGCCTGACCTTTTCCAATGTGGCCTTGAACTCACAGAGATCCAGAGGGATTTCTGTCTCTGGAATGCTAGGATTAAAGGCGTGAGTGCCACCATTTTCTAGCCTCTGTATCTAGTGGCTGTCTGTTCTCTGACCCCAGATAAATTGATTAAGGTACACAATATTTTGGGGAATACAATACTACCACATAAGCCTTCTATGCATGCAAGAATATATATATGGTGTCGCTCAAAATATTTCCTAAAATTCCAAAACTGTAGAGATCTAATCCAAATTTACCTCAGATTTTCCCCGTAAGCATTTGTTTTATGTTCTATAATCCTTTGAGCTGTACTCATGAACCATGTTCTGAACTGATTCCCAGGGTTCACGTGGGACTGCCTGCTGTATTTGTCAAGTCGTTACTGTTTGATTTTTTAGTTCCAAATTGTCAGCAGCTCTTATTTACTTACTTGCCTTATTTGATGAGGCACCGTCCTAAGCCTGTATTTTAGTGCAAAATTAGCTTGCAGCCTTTCAGTAGACAACTATGAAAAGGGTGTTAAAGGGCTAGAGACATAGCTCCTTTGATAAAATATTTGGCATGCAAGCTAGATGACCTCAGTTTGGTACCTAGAACTCACACAAAACTGGGGACCTGAGTTTGATCTCCAGAACCCAGGTAAAAATGACAAGAATAGTGGTACACACTCAAAATCCCAGTGTAGGGAGGCGGACACATGGATCCCTGGTGCTTGCAGGGCCACTCAGCCTAACTAATCAATGAGTTTAGTACAAAAAGAATCCCTGTCTCAAAAAACAAAGTGGATGGCTTCTGAGGAAAACCTGAAGCTGACCTCTGCCTTGTACACATTTGCACACATGTGCACACACACATGCATAAACATATACATGCACCCACACAAACATGCACATAGACTATCACCCCCTCCACACACAAAAGTATACAGAAAAACAGTCTAAAAATTGCTTATCTTGAGTCTAAGTAGTGTCTGTTCATACAGCAGAAAAATCAAATTTGTAACAATGATACACTTTCTGAACCTAGTAAAGCTAATTTAAATGAAAATATACAGCAGTAGAGCTGTGAAGAAGCAGCTTGCAAACAATGCTTTAAAATTACAGTCCCTTGGAACAGTATTAACTAAAGTATACTAGGGAAGAATATCAATACCACATTGTGCTAGGTCAGCTAAACTATAGCCTTGATAACTTAGCACTCACAGCCTCAAGTGAAGAGAGGATGGAAAGATCTTCAGAACTTCTTTCGCCTGTATTCACCTCCTTAAACTTGAACAGGAATGCATAGGAATCACTTTTGTTAAAATGTCAATTCTAATTCAGCAGTACTGAAATCAGGCCTGAAATTCTGTATTTCTAGCAGGTACTAGCAGCTGCTACTGCTGGGGCATGGATCCTCACTTAGAACAAGGATCTAATATTCACAAAAATGGTAGGATGAGTATATGAGGCTTGCAAAGGTTTCGGGCTTCTGAATAGTTCATAACTCCCTCTTTCACTAATATTTTAATTTCTGTAACCCTGTAGAATCCTCCTGTCTGACTAATGTGGGATCGTTTATCAACAGGTAATGGAGACCAAAAGTATGCTGTATCTTGTGACAGAATACGCGAAAAACGGAGAAATTTTTGGTAAGTTTTTTCTTTGCTTTTTTGTAACTTGAAGAGTCACTAGCCTGCATGAATGGGGTACTTCATATTAATTTTTCTGATTATTTAAGAATTGATAATATTTTAAGTCTTAGACTAGAATAAAGTGCTAGGTAAGTTAAAATATGGAATATAACTTATTTTCTTACATGATATTAAAAGTGCTTCTTAATTTTCTTATTTGTATTAGAGAGTAGATAGTAAAGGATAGAGAGAAGCGTGTCATCTGATAAGAGAAATTTTATTTCTTTTTACTTTTTACCATTCTGTTTATTGAGTCCTGCTATGGCTTAGCTTTGGGGAAATTCATTTGTAGCCTGTGTGTAATCTTGTGGCTCTTATGCTTAAGTCAGGCACTCATAGTAGCTGTAAGACCTCAGCTTAAGAGGACTGTTTCCAGGCATTTGGCTACTCTCAGTTTGAACTATGATACATAGGTTGCTATGGACATTCATGTTGAAATCTTTCACTTCCACAGTCTACCCTAAAGTAACATTTGCCCCTGACACATAGTGTAAGAACTTTAAAATAATATACATCTGCTTTGCCCTGCTTGACCACTGTGGTTTTGTCATATTGTACTTGGGTCTATTTTATAAAATAAAATGTAACATTGGTTTTAGTGGTAAATCCTTTTTAGCAGATATTTCCATTTTTTTAAAATCTTATTTATCAGAAGATACCATTTCCACATTCTTCTGTATACATAATTATTTTCACCTTTATTTCTTTGAGAGGATGCATAGTTTCATGCAGGGTCATTTTCCTTTGGCCTGAAGGATTTTCTTAGTATTTCTTACAGTATGAGTGATGAAATCCTTCAGTTTTTGTATGTCTAAAATAGTCTTTATCCTTTTCTGGTATGGAGGATTGAACTGGGGGTAATTTCACCAATTTTAATAATTTGATGATAACATGCTTTTTGTGGTTTTCCTCAAGATTCTTTTGTTTAGTGATCACAAGCTGTTTGGACTTGTAAATACAGTATTTTCATTGAATTTAGAAATTCTTCAGCCATTGTTCTCTTAACTGTTATTTCTGTCCCACCTCTTTCTCCTCTCCTGCAGAGTCTAGTCCAGTCTCTTCTTTTAAAAAATGTCCTTTTCCTATGTCTCATTTTAGGTAGTTACTCCTTCTGTGTCTTCAGGCTCACTAGTCTTGTATTCTGCAATATCTAATTGAGTTTTCTAGTTAAATATATTTTTCACCTCAGACACTGTATAAATTACAGTTTGATTGGAACCGTGTGTGTGTGTGTGTGTGTGTGTGTGTGTGTGTGTGTGTGTGTGTGTGTGTGTTCCATGTCTTTGCTTATTTTTTGAACATCTAGGATACAATTACAATAACTTTTAATATACATGTCTGCTAATCTCCAGTATCTCTGTTCAACTCTGGATCAGCTTTGATAGGCTACTGTTCTCTGTTTTGCTCATATTTTTCTGCTTTTTTACATGAAAGGATAGAGGGATGGGGCTGAAGGACTAATGGTCAAAGAAAACCTCACTGAAGTTTGCGCAAATATTTGAAAGCACGGTTCTATACATATGGAGAAAAGAAGACTATCAGGATATAGAGAAGAACAAATGCAGAGTCCCTGAGGCCACAGAGTTCTTGGTATGTCTAAGGTTTAGCAAAGAGGCCACCATGACTGGAGAGAGGAAAGCAGGAGGGAGCAAAGAGAAAGACTAGTAGGAGATGCAGTCAGAAAGGTAAATGGGAGGAGGAGTAAGGAGCAGACTTAAGGACTTGCATCCATTGTAAAGACTTCAGCTGCTACTCAGATTTTCAGTAGTTATTCTCATTAAGATTTCAGCATGCTGCTGGAGAGATAGCTCAGTGATTAAGAACACTGGTTGCTTTCCCAGAGGACCCAGGTTCAATTCCTAGCACCTATGTGGCAGCTGGACTGTAACTCCAGTTCCAGAGAATCTGACACCCTCTCTGGCCTCCATGGATACCAGGCACATGTGTTGTACAGACATACGTGCGGGCAAAACACCCTTACACATAAAATAAAATAGACACAAGCAGACAAGTGACTGCCTGAGTTAGCATTTTCAGATCACTGAGACACACTGCTATTTTCAGAGTAGATTGTAGCTGGAAGGTGTAGAAACCAAAGATCCGGTTAGAGGGCATTGAAGTAGTTGCTGACAGCTCCGTTTAGGATGTAAAGTAGTATAGGGATCATCTCTGTGTGTGTGTGTGTGTGTGTGTGTGTGTTTTGCACACATATAAATGTGGACGCACAGATTGACATCTTTAGTCACTCTACACCTTTTTAAATTTGAGGCATGGTCTTACTGAACCTGGAACTTGCTGTTTTAGCTTCAGTGGCTAGCCAGCCAGCCCCAGAGATTCAGTACCCAAGCGTTGGGATTACAGGTGCAAACCGCCATGCCAGAATTTTATATGTGTACTAGGGACTTAAACTCAGATCCTCTCCTGAACCTGTTTTTATATGTGGGTGCAGAAGATCTGAATTCAGGTCCTAATGCTTGCATAGTAAGGGCTTAACTGGCTGAGCCGTCTCGCCTTTAGCCTTCAGTATATATTTTGAAAGTAAAACCAATTCAATTTCTTGTCAGGTAGAGACCACTTACAGTAGTGTGTGTAATTATGGGAGTAACCAAGATCTAGTTCCTAAGGCACTCAAATTAAAGAGTTAGGAAAAAAGGAGAAAGCCCCAAATGAAACTAGAAAGGAAGAGAAAATGGTTTGCTGGAAACCATGTGAACCAAGCAGTCTCAGGAGGATGATCAAACCTCTATGTCAGGTGACGCTGGTAGATCAAGAACAGTGAAGACTGGAAATTTACATTGCCATTTTGCAGTAGTGAGAGCAATTTTAGAGGAGCATCTGAACCAAAAGCTAGATTAAAGGTGTTTAAAGAACAAATAGAAGAAAACGGTGAGTGCAAAATCCCTTTTCAAAGGAGAGAAATGGGGGATAGTTCATAGGGTCAGTGAAGTCAAGAGAAGGCTTTATTAGGTCTTGACCCATTTTTAAAGCACGTGTGTGTTTGTGTGTGTGTTTGTTTGTTTTTCGAGACAAGGTTTCTTTCTCTGTGTAGCCCTGACTGTTCTGGAACTCACTTTGTAGACCAGGCTGGCCTCAAACTCACAGAGGTTCGCCTTCCTCTGCCTCCCAAGTGCTGGGATTAAAGGTGTGTGCCACTGCCACCAGGCTAGATTTTGTAATTTTATTAAACTAGAAATGGTTTTACATGTTAGGTGTCATTTTTATGAAAAGGGGATGGTCTTAGTTTTTCTTTTTGTGGAGATCTTTGAAATAAGCTTGAATCACACTCATATATAAATTGAGGCATACTTTGTGGACTTTTACATAAAAAGTTTATTCTTAATGTAAATTATCAATTTAAGTTCTGAAACGGAGAATCTGTTTTAGATAGAGAAGTTGGACAGAGAGTTTTAGTTAACTTTCCACTGTGGTACAGTTCATCTGAGTGCTGAAGCCAATGAGTAATAGAACTTAATTTTAAAATATGATGAAATCCTTGGATAATATTTACTATTTAGAATGGAAGACTCTAGAGGAATCAGAGATCATTTAGTACGATTTATTTTTATTTATTTTGGCTTTGTCGTTTATGTGTGTTGCAGCCCAACAGAACTCAATGTCTTTTCTCACAAAAACTATTTCTCTCTCTCTTTTTTTTTAACTTGACTTCATCATGTGCCAAGTCTTCTAAGCTGGGATCCTTGTGTCAGTATTGATTTCATCATCTCCTGCATCCCTCTTCAGATGATTTGAAATTCTGCCTGTTGTGCTTCCTATATGTCTCTGAAAAAACATACATCTCCCTATCCTCCTTTCTCCCCTGTGTGTAATATGCATTTGTTTAATTGATTCATTTAACAAGGTCTCCACAGTGTTTCCAGAATTATCTGTTTTTCTCCACCCCCTTTCTTTCTCCCTCTCTCTTTCTATGTTTGAGGCAAGGTCTCACTGTATAGCACAGGCCTCAAATTTGCCATTCACCAATTCTTCTGCCTCTGCCTCTGCCTCTGCTTCTGCCTCTGCCTCCTTCAGAGTGGTAGGATTTAATAGTGTACCGTTATCCATGATCAGAGTATCTTTCTAAAACACAAACATAGTCATGTTAGTCATCCTCATGTTCTAAGTTGTTTCAATGACCATTAAATAGAGGTGGGTGTGGAGGAAAGAGTAGTTTTGAAAGTAAGGTAATGGCATAAGAACAGTTGTTAGGAAAAGATTAATTTTCATGTAGCTTCTATATGTGATAATATGCAGTTCAAGAAACATCTACCAAATACTGAAAAATATGTGTAAGATTTCAAATGAATTGAGCCAAAAATGTGTTAAGTCAGCTGGAGATGTAATAAAAAGTAGTATATAACAACAGTATTGGAGTATGTATTTTGCTATATGTTATTGTTTATCTTTCAGACTTAGGACTTTGGAATCACCTTTTACCTTTACAAGTATTCTTTTAGACCTACTCTGTGTTGGGAGGGTGTGTTATTCCTTTTTATTCCATCTTTTTTCACTCTCTTATTTGTGTATTTAGTTGGCCTGCAAACCATACTGTGTTCTTGCAAAATGACTTGAAATTGAATCCTTCTGTTTCTGCAGTCATCACCCTGATCTAGGCTTTCATCACCTCATGTCTCAATTTGTGAAGATCTCATGTTTTACCATACCCTATTTCTTCCCCAGTCAGTACATTTCAGTGTACTTTGTTCAATCTTCCTGAAATAGCTTTATTATGTTACAACTGTGTCAATAGCCTTCATGTACCTCACTGTGCTTAAAAACTCTCCAGTCCGTACCTCAGTTAGCTGCATTAACTAAGTGGTCATGCCTAGCTATTCCTTGCATAGTTTCTTGATAATCATTAGTGTAGACAACCAAATTGCAGATTATATTATCTGCTTTAGTTAATAGGTCAACTTTTTTTCTCCTCTCCCCTATCCTCCCTCTTTCTTTCTCTCTCCTTT